CCCCAAAACCCCAAAACCCCAAAACCCCAAAACCCCTAAGCCACAAAAGTTGGTTGAATCTGCTTATTTCTGATTACCCACAAATCTGTAGTTATAAGCATCCAAAATACTAGAACCAGATGCTAGGTCTTCTGCGAAATTCAAGATGGTCTCTGGATGTCCGCCAAGATGCTTAAAGATGGGGTGGGCTAACAAATTTTCACACCCAGGATGAGCTTTCACAAGTTCCGACACCTCCTGAGTTGGAATGTGCCTCTTTGAGAATTGGACTAGCAAGGAGTAAGTATCTCTATCTGAGAGGGGATGAAGTTTATAGGAAGCAGCATCTATGTTCTTAAAGTCGTCCAAAGGAATCCTACATGTAGTAAGTATTCTTGCCTCTTCACAACTATCTATTAAAGTGTCTAATAAATTATACAATGATTCCTGGTCGTTGTTATAAATATTGTCGATTGTATCCAAAACAACCAATAATTTCTTTTTGCTCAAAACTCGGTGAAGGAGAGTGCTCAAATTATTGGTCGATGTCATCTGGGAATCCTCCAAAGATCCACTCACGCTAGAACTTATATCGTCAGATCCATCGATGTACTTCTCAATTTCCTCTATCAAAGAATCTGTTGTTTTCATTTCTTTACAGTTGAGGAATATAATGCCATCTTTGAAATAATTTCTGTGCTTGATATGTTGACATGTATTCCTGATAACAGCAGATTTGCCCATTCCTTGCCTAGCGTGTACACAGAGCATCTTACTCTCTTTCAGCCCAAGCATGATATCATAGATCTCTCTCTGTCTTCCCTTCAAAGTAGAGACTCTTGAAGGAATTATTGAAAATTCAGGTTCTTTATCCAGGTTCTTAACTTTTCCGGGTGTAAAATTTATCAAAGTTCTACACTCATGTTTCTTCTTGCTTCCATTATTTGAAGTCATTAGGATAAACTTGCTAGACTCTGACTCATAATAGTTCCTCTTGATAGCCTCTTTAGCAATGCGGAAGGATTCACAAGGAGAATATTGCTTTGCAAAAAGCATCTCATAAAACACTTGGGCAAACTCTAGAGCTGCTAAATCTCTGACTTTCTCTGATCCTTTTATGCATACCACATGATTGGCTCCTGCATTTGAGAAGATCTTCCCAGCAAATTCTGAGTGGCAGGATGCTATGAAAACCACTTCGAACTTGAAATCAATGATCTCTACCATGTTTCGCAACTCCTCTTCAAATAGGTACTTGCTCATGCCATACTCATCTTCCAATAGGATGACATTTCCTTTATTTTTGACAAAAGAATACTCTGAGCCCATGTTTTGGATAGAGTTGATGATTCCATGCCCAGAGAAGTGTAGTACCACTGGCCTTTCAGAGATAATGCTATTGAAATTCTTCAGAGTTGCCACTGATTTATTATATTTAATCTCATAATTAACATTTTGAAGGTTCGATTCGATATCTCTGATCTCAGACATATAGTCTAAGAGCATCACTTGCTCATATCCATTCTTAGCCTTCCTGAGTAATGGAGAGGCGAACAAGAAAGAGAGGTGTACCTTAGCTTGGCTCATATCACAACTGTTCCAACTAACTGCTCTCTGTATCTGCTGAACAAGCTTCTGATATCTCTCTATTTCCTGATTGGCTAATTTAAGTTGTTCTCTTAAAATACTAAGTTCCGAAACTTCTTCAATTGCTTGTTTACCACCAATCATTGAAGGCACATTGTCAGCTATATCTAGTTTTTCTCCAGTTGGCTGCTCGGATGATACCCTTTCTATAAATTTTCCTGAGATATCAGAAGAGCCTTCAAATTTATTTTCTGAGTGAAATTTTGAAACTATGTCCTGAACTTCATTGTCTTCCTCACTCTTTTCTTCAGAGTCATCATCAAGCTCGTCAAACACCATATCTTCACCTATATCTTCGAGGCCATCAAAATTGAAGGAAGCCCCTGGCAAGCCTGTTCCTCAAGACCTAAACTGTGGCTTTGGCTTTTGAGCCTGCATCATCTGATTTTGATCCTGTAAAGGCCTTTCATCAGGCTGAATTCCTACAGGTATGAAAATGTCCTTACCTCCAACTTCGTTTATAATGATCTTATAGGTTTCGAAAAGGGAACGAGGTCTCCCGGTAAGATACTGCTTATCGATTAACCATTTGTGGACCATAGCCTCATTAACTACACCCCCATTCTTTTGTTCTAGCATCCTAGCCATTTTCTTTACGATCAGATTCTCTCTGTTGGTTCTGTTTTCTTCTTTATGATCCTCTTTAATTTTGACCCAGTCCATACTAACAGGAAGATCAGGCCAAGACTGCTTGTCCTCAGTCTTTCCATGGTTAGTAAGGTCTTCAGGCACAGTTTCATCGATGAAGTGAAGAGTCTGGGTATCCTCGCTAGTTGAAAATTTGTCCTTTCTGATTATCATCCTTCCTGGCTGACCCTTAATTTCTGCAATAATAAAATTTTTATTTTCCTTACAAGATTTGAGATTAAAGCATTTTAATAAATCCTTTATTGATTCGATAGTGTGGCCGCTCAACACCCTCCTCAGGTGCTCGTTAGGCTTGAAAGATCCCTGGCTAGTTCCAAATTGCTCTATTCACTTTGGAATAGACATAGGGGCAGCTGCCTGGGATACTAAAGGCGCAGATGCCCTCATACAAGCTTTTCTAAAAGGTGGAGAATCTGGTTCTCCTATCTTCAATTCCTCAAGATCTTCTCTTGTATCTGGGACAAAAATACTATTAGGATCAAATCCAAGCACGTTGGAGTCTTCTTCCTGTTGAATATTTGGCAGATGACCTCCTTTCTCATCTTTGTCTTCAACTTTAGATGTTTCCATAATATAAATTAATGAAAATTCTTCTTTTGTTCTCAATATTTCTATTTAGATTGGGGTTTTGGGGTTTTGGGGTTTTGGGGTTTTGGGGTTTTGGGG